ACTATACCAGCCTGCGGCACACTCTGCTAATTCAACTTTGCTGGGCATTTGTTAAGTATCAGTTGTCCTTCGAGAGACTTCAGTATTATTGGTTGGAACGGCATTAGTTTCGCCAATGTACAAATAGCGTTCAATTAAGAAAATTAATTCCAATATTAAAATTATATGTACCTTATGACTGGTAGAGGCAAACGGAGTCAAAAACAGGAAACTGATCAATAAAATTCAAATATGTGCAAAAAAATAAATAAAACCATAACTGGAAAAGCCGCGATCTCAAATACGCAAAATCTGTGTGGAAACGAATGTTTACCAAGGTAGTTAACTATTGACTTCCACTCGTACATTTCTGTTAGCGCGTTGCGGAACGAAGTGGGGGAAAAAATGAGCAAGGCTAGTTTCCAAAACTTTTCCATAACTTTTCCTCTCTATACAAGAATTCCAAAACTTATCCAGGGCCTGGAAAAATTTTTTCAAAATTACAAAACTTCTCCAGGTTTTCCATGACCACGGGTATCCTGTAAGAAGATGTTGGTGGTGTGGTGATACTTGTTGCAATTTAAATTCTGACATGTTTATTAAACATAAGGAAATGCCACATTTATACAGATTACTAAATTTTCGGCATCACAAAACGCATCTCTAATATTTTAGGCACACTACTAATCTACTTACCAAAGAACATATTTGGAGAAAATGGTTTTTACAAAAAGGAAAAAAAAACACACATTGAATTTCAGCAACAAATGACAAATTTTAACATACCTAAAAAGTTAAGGCAATAACAATTGCTCTATACAAAAAAACACCAATCACTTTTTTTTGAAAAAGTTTTTGAAAATTACCCACTTAAATATTTAATGGTTTAACTTAAAACTTGTACAGATTATTCATTTCCAACAAAAAAAAATCTACTTACAAATAAGTACAAGCTGAATTTCAATGCTTTCAAAAAGCCTCAATAAACAGACGAGAAGAGAGGGAACTAGATTATAAGTAGGGATGTTAAACTTTTCGTAAATCAGACATCTTCACGATTAATGGCATATAATCGCATGTACTCAACAAGCTGATCGAAACACTATTTAATCCCACCAACGTGATTGATCTAAATTCCTAAATCTATTTGGCAAATTGGTCCAAAAAGTGAAGTCTGAGAACTGAACACACACACATTATAACATAAAAAAAGCTTTAGATCTTTACGGTATAAGCCTTCGATAAAATAAATCTAATATTGCAAACAATATTTTTTATCCTGTGCATGCCTGTCTGGTATTTTTTATTATTTTTTTTTTTTTTAAACCAAAAGAAGCAAGTAAAACCAGCTTCCCTGTGAGACACCAACTGAACGGTTTGGTTTTACCTTCTGGGATTCTGAGCAACAGTCACGTTGTTTACAAAAAAGAATTCTCCCATTTGGGTACCAAAGTATTGCATGCGTAATGTGATCAAGTTAAAAACATCATGACTTCAAAATTAACGCACGACAATACATTTATTCAATACATTTCCCTGCCCTAATAATTATATACAGTACGTACACACACACACACACACACACACACACACACACACACACACACACACACACACACACACACACACACACACCTAGGTTAATGAATTGGAAACAAGTCAATGTGTCAAACCATTGACAATCTCTGAAGGAGGCGCTGTTAACCATTATGCGTACACTGACCCTCTAGTCTCAATGTCTACCTACTTTCTTTTGGTATAAAAAAGGAAAGAATTAGGGATGCTGACCACAGCTCACCTAATGCCTGATTCCGTGTGCACACAACAGATAGCAGCTCTGCCTGAAGTTCATCTATTAATTTCTTTAAAATTAACAGTATTCTGCACTTTTGTATTATCCTTGTGCTCAATCTCCATTTCCATTGGGGACAGACAGATGTACCTTTATTCATATGACATTATGCCTGATTAGTGTAATAGGTCTGCATGTCATAAGGCTGCATGAGGCCGTCTTTATTAACACCTCACCTTTCATCAACATGATGATAAACGCCAGGTTTATCATCATCAGAAATTGGAGGGGAAGATCTCTGGCGTCATGGGAGAAATCACACAACTGGGCTTCTAATCAAATCATGCTATCACACATGCTATCCCTGGCTACGCTAACTGGTTTAACAGGAAGAGCACTCAAAGCTACACCTAAGACATTCACACTAATGCAATGCCAGAAACCACTGCCACGGTGGCTGTTACTGGGCCAGAGTAAGGATCACATGTGCGGTCTCTGGTTTCACAGGAGATGTGCTCATGCCACAGGTTCCATGCTGGGGTATGAGTCTCTCCTCAGGGCCACGTGACAGCCACGGAGGGGTCTCCATAAGGTCCGAAGAAGCAGACAGAACATCTTTCTGAGACCTGAGGGGAGGGGTCCCCCTGCGAGAGCACAGATGGTAAGAGCACTAGTCCACCCTTGTGAAGGACACTGGCATGATTATGATACTGGTACTGGGTCCCACAGTGAAGCGTTTCCAAAAAAAGCTACATTCCTCAGTACATGCGTGGCTGTACCCACCTCAGTGGGCAGTCCTTCAAGCAGCATGGGTGTCAGTGAAACCAGGAGATTACAGAAGAGTCAAAGCTCATGGTGCGCTTACAGGACTCAAACAGCTGCCCTGCCCTGCCCTGCTCTCTAACCCCCGAGTTTCCTCAAATTTCAGCACACCGACAGCTGCTCCGGAAGATACTCTTGGTAGCTACCCCAAAAGATATTGGACTTCTCTCTGGAAATAGCAGTATTTGAAACTGAAGCCCAAACCAATACAATGATAGAAGAGAGGCAATAAATGCTGTGCATCTTTCACACCAGATAATGTCACCAAGACAGCTCAACCCAATTAATCCCACCCGTTACGCTGGGAACAGTTGTGTTAACAGGGTACGTCTAGGTGCTACGCCCACCATACCGGGGGATCATCTGCCGTGACTTTTGTCAGAGTAACTCACACGTATGGCAGATGTCTTCATATGCCCCAATGTGGACAGATAGGCGTAGATATTGTAACTAATGCTGCCCATCAGTGAGGATAGAGGCATATCGCTCACTATGTAGCCCAAGCCACACCTATCTGCCATGTCATTTTATTGCAATAACCACAGCGGCAGGACAGAGGGTGAAGTATATCTGCGGGGAGATGAGGCCTCTTGTCTGGAGGTCCTAGTGTAACCCTCCTCTGTGCGACTTCCTGAGCCCTACAATTTGCCCTCATCTGTGAAGCTGACTACTGAGCATAAAGGGAACCTCTGTTTAATGTCTTGGAGGACACCTGCTGCCTTGAGGTCCGAGTCTCTCCCCAGTGGACTGTAAACTGAAGTCATTAAACCTCATGCCTTCTGTTCAACGCAAACACCAGAAAATTACAACACAGCTAAAGGCTGAAACTGTCCAGACACTTTCACCCCCACAAGTACTAACATGGTGGTAATTTTTATAGTAGGTGAGCAGGATATCTGTCTCCCAATTGTACCAGATGGCCACACTGCAGAAAATTCCACTGAAATTCACCGCATCGGTTTCAAGTCAGAACAACTGTGGTCAGCTGTAGGATGAGGCTCTAGCAGTGTGCTGGGCTCCCAGTTGCAGTTACCATCCCAGTTGAGTGTTGACCCCCCCCGACAGGCATGAGTAACTGCAGCATGTGCACACCGAATGTCGTGTAGAACAGTCCAAACACGCTGACCTTTGCGCAGGAAGGCCAGCATCTTAAATGACATGACCAAAGACGCCTTAACCGTACCCCGTGCGTATTCCATTGCACTATTTCTCCGAGGAATCTCATGTGTCTTGAACTCCATTTTTGAGGCAAGACGTCGTATCTAATTATGGATATCACTTCGTTTCTTTCAGCTTGGCATCCAGCCAATCAATCCACCACCTTGCAGGAAGTTTCAGGTTGCAAGGAACAATAAATTTACTCAGTTTCTTTTTCTCAAAAGGTCAGAAATTGTGGGTATGGTTCTGCTAATTCAATAACCTCTAATTAGCAAAGCTAACTTTTTCATTAGCGTATTAGTGTTTCCGCAAACTTTGAAAACCATTAGCGGTTGGCTGACTATGTATAACACAAGAGACGATGAGGCAATAACTTGTCAGACCTACGGTTGTCTGTACTAAATGTACAGTGAATGAAGATAAAGTCAATTTAAAACTGAGGCATATTGAGCTAAGAGGTCTGTATCATGAAGCTGGACTTTTTGGATTTAAGGTACCCTAGTTTAAATGGACTTTATCTTCATTAACTTACACTTAACCTAGACTACCTTAAATCTGACAAGGTATCAGTCTAAGCAAGAAATCCTGCTTCGTGATACAGTACCCAGTTGTATTTTCCAAGTCCTGACTGACAGAGCAATAGACCAATAAAGAGCCAAGAGCCTCCATCCTAATTCTGGGTATAGGGCGCCATGTTTGTAGTCCTCAAGCAGCTTCACGGACGGCTTTGTATTTGTGCTTTATTGGTTTAGCATTATTGAATGAAACTTTGGAGCAGATCAGCGGTAAAAGGTAACTTTCTGGTTGGCTGTGCCCACCACTGAAGGTCAGTGGGGGGGGGGGGGTCACTATGGAGTGAAGACATCTGGGGTCCGCAAACTGCTGGACCCACTGCCTTGTTCCCGAAGGCAAATGATAGGACTCTGCCCTCCACATTTTTGGCCACATTATGCCGAGGTTAGTAACATGGGCCTGACCAGAGTCTTATTCCAGGAATGATTCCTCTTTCATCCTCACTACTGGCATCAACATTATATCTTTTCAAGGTGGTAGCAAGTCATCAGAGAAGAGGAAGGAAAATGTAATCCTATGCAGCCCTGTTCATTCTGGCCTTATTTATGGGTCATCAGAATATTCTGGTGCATGTGTTTACTGCGGCTCCTCGTGTGTCTGTAATAAAGGCGCGGGGTACACTGCGGATCCAGCTGTTACCTCCTGCAGCTTGTCGTTCTCCTCCATGTACTTCCTGGCTGCGTCGCTGGCTCCCTCCGCCTGCTTCTTGAAGGCCTCGTTGGACGCCATCATGGTGGCCTGCTGCGACAGCAGGGTGACCAAGCGCCTCAGGAGCCTGGGGGAAACAAAAGCAAGGCCGTCTCAGAGTGCTCGTCAGGGGCACCGGCTTCCAGGCGACGCCAGGCCGAGACGCCAGGCCCAAGGTCTCAGTCCTGAGGCTCCCTTTCCCTGCAGTGCAGAAGCCTGTGACTGAGCTGCTATGGCAGGAGAAGGTTCAGTAGCAGCTGCTATGGCCAAAAGATAAGACTGGAGTACAGCAAAGCAAACTGTCTTAAAGGGAACATACCCAACCCGTGACCACAATGGTGTGGGGGGGGGGAAAGACTTCATTTTCTGGAAACACAGCAAGTTTCATGAGTAACGTCCGCGACCATTTCCACGGGGATGTTTATCACAGACCAAATATAGCTCATCGTCCCAGGTCATCGTTCTTCATATGCAGAATATGATTAAATACTTGTGCTGCACTCCATAGGCACAATGTGTCCTATACTGGGTGTGTGTGTGCGTGTGTGTGTGTGTGTGTGATTAAATACTTGTGCTGCACTCCATAGGCACAATGTGTCCTATACTGGGTGTGTGTGTGCGTGTGTGTGTGTGTGTGTGGCAGGGGGTTCTAATCATCATTAACCCCGAGTTTATCAGCATATGTACTGAACTGAAAATGACTATCGATACCAGCACTGTGCAAGTCACGCAGCGCATAGTTGCTCTGCACAACAAGACTCTTGGACGCCCCCACAGGAAGTCACTCACGCCGCCCCCCCCAGCAGAGTTGAATTCCCAGCAGCCATTCGCATGCCGCAGTCTGCTGCACGTAGTGCACGGTGTCGGGGCTAAACATACGCTCCCCAAGCGCAGGACGGCTGCTGGCCAATATGACATTTACCGCAGCTGGACACCTAGGCAGGTGAGGCACATGAACTTTGAGACAAACCTGTAATGCAAAGCATCCCCCCCCAATTTCTAAATATAACAGTCCCTGCCGGGTGCACGGTCACATGGGACTCACACCCTCATACACGCAGCTGTCCGGCTGAGCAGAGGGCCACCATCGGGGTAGGGGTAGTACCCAGCCACAGGGCTATTAATAGGGTGCCATTCAAAGAGAGAAGGCCGGGACCCTGTATGGAAAAAATATGCAAGCTGGGTACACAAGATGGGGGGGCCTGGAAACATAGTACTCAAAGCACCACACAGCGCTCCCCCAATCCAGCATGCTGGCTTTCACGCTTCCGACAAAACTTGTGAATGGAAAATGTCCCATGACCCACCAGTACGTCCTTTTCAAGAACACTGCAAAGCCCACGGAGATTAGCAGGATCCCGGGCGGCAAAATCTGAGTGGATGAGAAGAGCTCACAACAGGAGGCAAAACCAATGAGGTCTATAGATAATATAATAATTTTAGCAGTTGGGAAATACCGCTATAGGTCTTTATTACATAGCTGGATTAGTAAATGGATCCAGAAAATGGATGATGGATGAACAACTTCATAGGAGAATCACTGTACCTGAATTTGGGTGCTTAAAGAACATTTAAATGGGTGAACGATTACAGATCAAACCAGCAATCATTCAATAGCATGGCGTTAATTGATCTTAGCGAACTTGGGCTGCCAATGCGGCCTGTAAGGAAAGATCTGGCTAACAGGAACACCCATACAAGTATGCTATTCACTGATTTCAGGTCAACCTTTAAAGCTATTACGCTAAGCACACTCTGGGAGCTGGGATTCAACAGCTCCATCTGGAACCCACAGTCCCTAAGAAGCAGAACCCAGGTGTCAAACCAGGAATAAAACCTCATTGTCAACATGGAGACTCCCAACCATCACCAGTAATGGTTCTCCAGGGGAAACTGTTAATGGTTTCAGGTTCCTTAGCCTCCAGATCTGAGACAGAACAAAGTGGAGAGAGCTCCAAGGCCTGTGAGCTCCTGTGAGTGGAGTGACGGACAAGCAAGTCAATTACCAACATGATACCACTGGAGATGTCCTCACCAACAGTACTACATTATGGCAGAGTGACAGCTCAAAACAGAGGAGGCCATACAGAAAGTTGTGAGTTTGGCCGTCCATCAATTGGATATACAGTGGTACCTCGGTTCTCGAACTTAATCCGTTCCGGACTACGGATCGAATCCTAAAAAGTTTGATTTCTGATCAAATTTTTCCCATAAGAAATAATGGAAAACCAATTAATTGGTTCCCAGCAACCCCAAAATTACACCTAAAAATGTGTTGGTTTTTTTAAAGCATTTAAAACACAAAATAAACAGGATAAAACAAGAAAAGCATTTTTTTCTTAATGGCTTCCAAAACGATAAAGATCTTATCCCAACATCAGCCCTGTCCTGCCCTGATCGTCC